GCAGTCTGTTTCGCTACTTGCTACTACGTGTGTAAGGTCAGTCCTTGTCAGGTCAGTCTTTGTATCTAAGTCTTCCCTGCGCTATTCAGCACTTTTTTATGTATGAGAATGCACATTGTCTGTCGAGATTCTACTCTCACCGCATTGTCCATTTCAGTCCTTTTCGTCACATTGCAGTTCCTCGGTTATTACAAACATCACATATCTGTGCATGTAACATCCGGATGGCCCTTCTTATGTTATTCGCATCCCTGGCTACTTACGCACTTACCCTGTTTTCCACGCCTCCAATCTTGCACCTTTTGAAGAAACAGATCGGTTTCCCTCTCGTCGCTCAATGCTGCCCCCAACCATGGATGGAGAGGTCAACATCGACGACATTGTTGACCACAGGGAAATGCCAGTTCCAAGACCGGGAGGCAGGGGATGTCCTCCGAAACCGAAGCTCCAGTACAGGGTTCGGTTCAGACATCACACTGATCCAAAGGAGGACCGATGGTTTACCAGGGAGGAACTGATGCAGACCGCTCCTCAGGCTGTGGCCCATTATGAAAAGTCTCTGCAAAAGGGAAAACGCCAGATTATCGAAGACTGAACTTCTCAGAGGACTAGCGAAGTATGGAGGGAAAGCGAGGCACAAGGCCTCAATAAGCCCTACCGGGCCCCTATTTGCAACAGGTCAGCCGCCCTAAGTGACGGCAGGCTCGACAGACGACAAGAGGCCTATTTTGGACTACTTCGCAACTGGGGTAAAATTCAGGCAGTTGCGCAGCGCCAGTTGGTTGAAGGCGCCCAGGCCCTGGCCTCCTTTATCAAATGTATCTAAATCAGGCCCTGGGTGAAATACGCAGCATGGACCCAACTCAGACTGTGGGCAGTTGGGCACCGGTAACTGTCTGTGACCCTGAGCCTGATTCGTTTGGGCTGAGGCTCAGCCTCCCTGGGTCTACCGGAAGCTTCTGGGCTGGGGCCCAGGACCGCAGCACAGCACGCAGCAGCAGGCCACTTCGATATAGGGAAGGGCCTGCCCACGCATTGGACATGCGGGCACTGGCTGCATGCTGTGCAAGCGCTGCTGTGCTGACGCTCGCCAGGCTCACGCGCGCTGCTGTATGCTGAATGGGGCGCATGGTGGTCCTTGGATGCAGGCATCTGTGAGTTGGGGAACAAGGTTGTGAGTGATACGAGAGACATACCTGGTGCTTGAAGCGGACGGCATTGTCCAAGATCTGCTCGTACTTCGAGAAGCTGTTGACGTCATCAGCGGCATCGTAGAGTAGGCTAGATAGGATCTGCCATCTGTAGTCTGGGCGCCGAGCGCCAGATAGGATATCAACATTGGTTCTTCGTTGATGATGATGAGACTATTCCAGCATTGTCGATTATGAGCTTTTGGTGTGCTCTTATTTGGTGAAAGTCGTGATGAAATTCTGCTATTGGTTCGAGGTCACGACTATCTGGTCTTATGTGTATGATGCTGTTTGATTTCTAAAGTTCGCTATTGCTCATCTTCCTTTGCAAATGTGTAATGCAGTTACATAAGAACCATAACAGCTTTTCTATTTAAAAAATTCATGAATTTCAAAATTAATAAATTTCCTTCCAAAAAAAAAAAGAAAAAAGAACACTCAAAGTAAGACCAAAAAAAAAAAAAAAAAAAAAAAAAAAAAAAAAAAA